GCTGCCAGCTCCGGAACGGGGGAGCCCGGGCTGCGAGCCGCCCTCTCCCCCCCCCCCCACGCGGTACCCCCGACTCGCGGTGGTGATGGTGGTGGGGGGGCTGGTGGTGAACTTGTGGTTCTCCAGAATCTGAGGATCCTCTCGGCCGAGTTTCTTGATGTTCTCAGGAAGGGATGCTGCGAATTTCGACTGTGGTTTCAGATGTTGGGGGGGGGAAGAGGGGGAGGGGGGCGGGTCGCTGGGGACCCAAATTCTTGAAGGAAAGGGGGGGGGCTCGGATTCCTGAGAGTTCCCCCCTAAGACTTAAAGAGGAGGCCGAGAGCAAGCAGAAACCATCCTAAAACGCGGAGCGCCAGGATCGCAAAGTTCTGGGTCTTCTGGAAGTGATGGGAGGAGCCACACCCCAAAACAGATTGACTGGGGCGCTACAGGTCCAGATCGATCCCAAGTTATTCTCAACTCGCCCGTCACCCCCCCCCCCCCCGCCGAGGGTGGGGAGGGAGAAGTTCAGTTTTGGGGGGCTCGGATTCGGGCAAGTCCTGGATGCTGAGGTCTTCAAGCTCGGGTGCAGGCTGGACGGGCGGTCGGCCTCCAGGGGTCCCCAATCTTCCAGGAGGGGGCGCTGGGCATCCGAGGTCCTCAAAGTGGGGTGCGGGGTGCCTGGACTTGGAGGTCTCTCTCTCAAGCCGTCCTGAGGCGATTCCGGATCCCCAGGTCCGAGACTCTGGCCCTGGGATGATGGGTCGCACCCGGGATCCGTAGTGGGGATCGCGCCACAGCCACGGCCGGGAGAATTAGGTGCCCGAGGTGGGATAGGGGGGCGGTCACCCAAAGCTTCCCAACCCTCCACCCCCCCCTCCCACCTACCCGGCCGCCCCGGCTCACATCCTGTTCCCGCCCGCGAGGGGGAGGGGCCGCCTTCCGGCCGGCCCGCCAACAAAGGGTTAAGGCGCCGCGCGCCTCCTTGGTTCATGTATATTCATGAGATCGATGGGCGGGGTCTCCAGCAGGCCGCAGCCCACATTCCAAGCGCGGCGGCGACTTTTCTCCCTTTTACAGCTAAGAACTGGCGAGGCGTGAGAATCCGGAACTGGTCGTGCTCTTTCTCCGATTGGTCACAAGAAACGTTTCTATTTACATATGCAACACAGGGCGGAACTGTCTAGAGAGGTCACGTGGCCTCCCGCAAGTGAAGGACGCCGTGGCGGAGGGGTGCGGCCGGAGCTCCAGTGGCGCAATCGGTTAGCGCGCGGTACTTATAAGACAGTGCTAGGCGGAGCCATGCCGAGGTTGTGAGTTCGATCCTCACCTGGAGCACTTTTTGATTTTTACCTCCTTGGGACACGGTTTTCTCTTTTCTGTTACGTTGTTGTTTCTGCTCTTGTGATTTTTTTTTTTTTTGCTTTAGCGACAGAGTTTTTGCTACGTAGCCGAAGCTGTCCACGAATTTGCCAGTCTTCCTAGTATCTAGATTTATTTCTAGGTATACACTACCACACTAGGTTTTTATTCTTTTAACCTGGAGTCTTCTTTTTTTTTTTTTAAGCTTTCTCATTCGTGTTAACTTTTTCACGTCGTAAATCAACCAAAATGCACCACTCAGAGGAAAGGGACGTTTTCATTTACATTTTGTTTTGTAGTGTGGAATGGTGCCGTTACATGTCGGCCACCAGGGGGCAACATCGCCTCTCGACATGTGCTGGCCGTGGAATTGAACGTGCAAATCTCAGTAGATGACAGCAGGGAGTTTCTGCCTTTATCCAACTCTGTCTTCTCTTACCCCTCTATGGAGGTAGATTGCTATAAAGGTAAGCATTAAACACATTTTATATTTTAGCTGGTGTTAGGAAAATGGAGGAGAAAGGAAGGAAACAGGCTGGACTCGATCTTCCAAGGGCCAGGACTGTTTATTGATAGAGCAGCGAGGGACACAGCTTTCCCACAGCTAAGAGACTGTGTAGAGCTGACCCAGGAGCTGGGTTTGACGAGGTCTGAGCAAGGAGGCAGAGGTTAATGAAAAAGCCACTAGGTCAAGGGAGGTGGGGGCTTTTCGGTTGGGCCCACAATGGGATGGTTACAGCCTGGCTTAGATAGATTGTCCTGCAGGAGTCAGGCAGTCTGCACTTACCTTTGGTGGGTTGCTTGGTATCTGTATGCACCTGGGAAAATAGGATGGGAGTCAATCCTTCAGGTGGTAAATGTCACAAATAAACTCTAAGATGGTGAGGATGGGAAACTGGAGGTGGTGTGGCCATTTGAGCAGAGATTATAATGAGGAGCTTGGGGTGGGTTGGCGTTTTCAGGCAGAAGAGCTACTCAGTGCAAAGGCCTGGTGGCAGCGGTAGAAAAGCTAGGCCAACGTGATTAGAGCAGAGAGAACAGGGGGAGGGGAGGAGATGGGAACTTGGCTGTGTTCAGTGGTTAGGACTTTGGACTTTGATTTTTGTAATCTGATTCTGGTATCCTAAGAGGCTTCCTTAGGTTTGGGGGCTGGGAGGTGGGGGTGGGGCTACAGAGGGCCAAAAAGGAGATTAGGGAAGGAAGCAGAACTAGGAAGGATCAACTGGGAAGTTCTGAGGAGGATGGGGCTATGGCCTTGGCTTGGGCCTGAAGGGTAGACTGTAGATCTATTTGTTCTTCTGGATCTATTTTGAAGTTGGATCAAACCAAGTTGCTGTGACCCTGGAGTACGGGTTTGAGAGGTACGGGTGTTTGGGGTTTTGTTTTTTGTTTGTGTTTTTGGTTTTTGTTTGTCAGTCCTGGGCTGGAACTCAGTGCCTGAGTGCTGTCCCTGAGCCTCTTTGTGCTCAAGGCTAGGTGCTCTACCATTTGAGCCACAGCACCACCTGCGGCCTTTTCTGACTAGTTCATTGGAGATAAGAGTCTCACCACTTTTTTGCTCGGGGTTGGCTTTGAACCCTGATTCTCCGATCGAAGCTTCCAGAGTAGATAGGATGACAGGCAGCTGTGCCCAGCTTTGTGTGTGTGTGTGTGTGTGTGTGTGTGTGTGTGTGTGTGTGTGCTAGGAATCCAGCCCAGAACCTAGCACATGCTAAACGAAGTTGTCATATCACTGAGCTCCATTGCAGCCAGGGGTTTGTTTCTAGAAGGAGCCAGGAGATCTGTTTAAAGACAGGCCCAGCGCTGAGAGGTGGTGGGCGCCCAGCCAAGTGTAGTCCCTGAACTCAGGAGAAAGGACACCTAGGGAAACACTAAAAATAAAATAAACTACCTGGGCACCAGGCCTTTGGGTCTCTGGGTTTCTGTTTCTCTGTCTCCTAAACCCTCTCCCAAAAGGGAAGCCAGCCATTTCCTGGAAGAGGAGACCAAAGGTCAGAGTGGGCCAGGGGAATGGGGAGACTGCGAAGAGGCCCCAGGAGAGGGGAGGGGAGGAGCTGCAGGGGAAGAGGGTACCTCAGAGGGTGAGCTGGGGAGGGGGGGAGAGAGAAAGAGGGGTGAGGAGGGGGGGAGGATGGCAGGCAAAGGGGAGAGGAGAGCAGGGGGGGAAGGGGAAGAATTGGGGGGACCAGGGGGTGAGGAAGAGGAAGTGAGCGGGGAGGGAGGCAGGGAGGAGGGGGGCCAGGGGGAGGAGAAGATAGCCAGGGGCGGGGCGCGCGCCCTGACGTGATGCGGGGCGGCTTCCGGGCGCACCCGCCTCTGGCCGGGGATGACTCCCGACGCCTCTTGCCTTGTACGGTCGGGCGACGCGGCTCCCCGCGCCCCGCCCGGCCCCCCCTCCACCCGCCCCCCACCCCGAGCCCTGATCCCGGGGGAAATGGGGTCCGAGACCCAGACACCCCCCCCTCCTCCCCCCGGATCCCATCAGATTCGGGGAAGTGGCCTGAGAATCCAGAGAGCCCAGATTTCCGCAACTAGGAACTTTTATTTAAAGCTCCCCGGCTAACTTTTCCCAAAAGTTTGACACCTCCAGACTTTTTTGTAAAGTCGAGACTGTAGGCGATAGGATCCCGCCCCCCGCCCCAAGATGTCAGTTTGGGGGTGACCCCTCCTCCGCGCCGGCCGCCCCCGCCCGCCGGGACAGGCGATCCAGCACATTCTGTACCCTCCGCCCCGCTCCCCCCCCCCCCCCCCCGCCTCCCCGGGCCCCGTGGGGACGGAAATGTGCCGGCCGCGGCCCCCCGTCCCCGCCCCAAGCAGCCCCGGAACTGGCTCTCCAGGTTCCATCCTGGGTGATCTCACCTGGCCCCGCCCCCTCAGGTGAATCGACGGGCTGGTGACGTCACTTCCTGCCAGGTAAGTGCGGCTGGGCGATTCAGCGCTGGATAAGATTTGGAGGTCAGGCCTTAAAAAACAAAAACCACCCCAACTGTCACTCCACCCTTCCCGCTGAAAGCCAAAAAAAAAAAAAAGCCAGCTTCCACTTTTATTCCTTTTATTTAAAAATTCCAAAACACACACACACAAAAATAGACTTTCAAAGTAACAATATATATATATATTACTTTATATATTATAGCACTGTCACAATAATATCATTGTTTCCAATATTAGAAAAAGAGTACAAGGGAATTGGACGACCCAATATATATAAATACTATAAAATCTTATTAGAATAAATAAGAGTCGTCATAAATAAAAAACAAAAAGGAGGGGGAGCCCACTAGTTAGTATGGGAGGAATAATTTGGCAATGGCTTTGGCTAGGCGCTTGAGGGACATTTTGAGCACCAGGACTGTCCCCAGGGGACACCTTGGGGAAGAATGGGAGAGGGGTGGTGAGGGCCAGCTTCACAGCACATAAAATCCCAAGAGACCAGAGTTGGGGTGGGAGGGGAGGAGGGCTCACTGCCTCCTTCAAATCTGCTACATCTTTAGTTACCCCAGAAAACACTGTTGTCCTTAACAGCAGAAAACACTGTGCTTGGGCACTGGGGACCTGCCCCAGAGGTGGCATCATTAGGGGGTGCAGGTTAATGCATTTTTGGAATGTGGATGGAGGTCCTCTCGATTTGAGGTGTTCCCCCACTTTCCCCGCCCCCTCCCCAGGTCCCCACAAGTGTCTTCCTCCTTGATTTCCAGCTCAATTAACTAGAAGGCACTTGTCACTCTGAAACAGAGATGCGATTGAAGATTGGGAGTCTCCTGGGGGCTGTTGGAGGCTGGGGTGGCCCAAAGACCCCAGCCTCAAAGACAGGAGAGTCGGATCCCCCCAGGCTGCTCCCACTGCTGGCATACTCATCTGGGTCAGACCCCAGGGAGTGTGCAGAGGGGCTCCGGGCCAGGCCCCCCACGGGCCCCCAGATACTGCCAGAAGTGGTCCTTCGGCAAGAGGGGCAGCAGGAAGGGGCGGGGTCCTTTCGAGTTACAGGGGTCCCCGGAGCAGCAGAGAAGGCAGAGGGTGAAAGTGGCAGCTCCCCGGGGGGAGGTGGGGAGCTGGAGGGCGAGAAGGAACAGGAGGACAAGGAAGGGTCCACCAGGCCAGGGGGTGGCGAGCCTCGGCGGCCCATGGGCAGGCCGGAGTAGCTGAGGCTCTGGCGTAGCATGTGCGGCTGGCCTGGGGCGGCCAGGTCCTCCTCGGGATGGTGGATGAAGTGACATCGGGAGCCGTAAGGACAGCGGCCCTGGAAGTAGAACTTGTGGCACAGTTCTGTCTTGTACTTGGGGTGGCGATTGGCCTGACGCAGCTCGCCCAGACCATGGGCGAACTGGCACTTGGCCCCATAGCGACAGCGCCCGCTCTCTGAGAAGGTCCGGCAGAGCTCAGTCTTGTAGCGGGATGAGGTGGTCAGAGTCGCAGTAGGTGATGTGGGTGAGGGTGACAATTCAGGGCCCGGGCGAGGAGCCAGGGGTGCAAAGCCAGGGGGTGGGGGCACCCAATTACAGCTTCGGCCCTCTACCAGGCTGGTGGACCGGCCAGGCAGGTGAGAACCCACCACCCCAGACAGGCTGGAATCAGATGAAGTTAGGCTCCAGAGTCCCGGAGACTCCGTTCCTCCGTGGTCTAATGAAAGCAGGTCGGCGGGGCTCAGCGATGGCAGGCTCTGTTGGGAACAGGGTTTGGTTAGGACACCCGAAGGAGAAAAGGCCAAGGTGCCGCCCCGCCCCAGCTGCAGGACACTTGCAGAAGCCTGCCAGTCCGGTTTGTGGGCTCCCCGGCCTGAGCCCCACCCAATCTCACAAACCCAAAAGGGTTCCAAGCTCCCCGGTGATTCAGAACAAGGGCTCCCATCCACCGATGAAACCAATCCGGAAGGATCGAGGAATCCCCAGCTCTCCTCCCGATAGATCAAGGCGAGTGTCCAGAGCCACACTACCAGTGTTCCCCACTTCTGAATTTCTGGGGCCTCTCCCCCTTTCCCCCGGATGCGATGGAGCACCAGGCTCCCAATAGTTTCACAACCGAAAACAAAGTTGATCCTAGCGCCCGGATTTCTTTTGGACTTTTTTTTTTGAAATCTCTGAACGGAGAGATCAGAGGCCAAAGTCAACGCCCCACCCCTACCCTTGACACTGGGACCCCTCCGCGCCACACAGAATAAACAAAATCAGAAGAACAAACGCGCCCTCAGCAATTTAAGGGGGAGCCAAGTGTGAGGGTCCACTTCGGCCTCCAGATAACCCTACTGAGCCCTGAACCGGCGCCTCCACGATCATTCTCCTCTCTTGCACACATCCCCTGGGATCCAGGGCCTGGGGCCGAGATCTCCCACTCCGTCCCCAGGACTTGGCAGGTTCAGTTTTCCAAAATGTAACCAGGCTTGGTCTGATGAAGGGGAAATAGGGCATCCCCCTACCCTTGTCCCCACCCCACCCCCTGCCCCAAGATAGCCGCCCCAGAGAGTCATCTGGAAGTGTGGCTCCCCAGGAATGCTGGCGATCGATACTGACCTCGAAGAGGACAGAGAGATCCATGGTTGGCGCGAGTGGCCGGGGAACGGTGGAGAGCCAGAAGTCCCAGCGCTGTAGACCGGCTGCAGGGGCAACTGGGAACGCCGGCTTTTTATATTGTGCCGTGGGGGCGTGGTCGTAGCGAGGGGGCGTGGCCAGCGACGAGGCCAAGGGGGCGCTTCCCGGACGCGCGCCCGCGGCCCAGCCCCTCGGGCCACTTACTAGTTCCGCCCGCCCCCGGCTAGCTGACCCTGAATTTGGCCGGGGGGGGGGGGGTGGGGGGGGGGTGGGGGGGTGGGGGGGTGGTGGTGTTGTGTGTGTGTATGGGGGGGGAGTTTGTATTAGGCACGTCTACCTAGTTTTCAAGGTTGGAGACTGGAGAGCAAAGGGAACTGGGGCAGAGGTGGGGGGCGGAGGCCAGGGCTCCCAGGGCGATCAACTTGGGCAGAGTCCAAAGGGGCGTGGGCTTGTGATAGACCCACAGACTAGGGTGGGGAAATGACATAACTGGAGAGAAAGGCGAGAAATGAGAGAGGGAAAAAAGCAAGACACACACACACACACACACACACACACACCTAGAGACTAAAACAGAGAGGGGCATCACAAAGTAGGAGGAGGTGGGAAGTGAGGGAACTGCAGGGCTGAGGGCAGGGCAGGAGCACGTTAAATAATAATAATAATACAATCTGGGGCCTGGAGCCAGAGGCTCATGCCTGTAATCCTGGCTATTTAGGAGGTTGAGTTCGGAGGATCTCAGGTGAATGGCAGCCTGAGCTAGCATCTCTGAGTCTCTTATCTCCATTAAACTACCCCCAAGCCAGAAGTGGATTAAGTGATAGAGCCCTAGCCTGGAGCAAAAAGTGTAAGGGCAGAGCTTGAATTCAAACCCCAGAGCAGGTGCTCATTCCTCCTGCAACCCCCCCCCCCCCCCATAACAAACACTTTCTCAGAAAGACAACCCTAGGAGCCTGGGAGAGGGTTGTTCAAGGATTATTAGACTTTGCCAGAGAACCACGCAGACATCCAGGTACGGAGAACAACAACAGGTACAGAGAACAAAGAAAGGTGTATTGCTGGAAAAGGGGCAGGCAAGACCCCTTCTCACAAGGGAGAAGTGAGCAGCAGCGCTGGCTATGGTCTGGGGTGACCTATATTACCTAGGAGGCTTAGGAGGGGGTAGGAGGCGGGGATCCTGGTGTGGACCTGAGGGCCAGGGGCTTCATCATGGCAGATGAGGATTTATGGCTGCTGTCCAAATAGTAGATAAGGGGTTCTGCAACTGCTCAGACCTGGAAGTCACTCTAAGGGACTCTTTTGCCTTAGATGGTGGTAGCTGCCCAATTGAAGCGCCATCCCAAGGAAAAGGGGGTTGGAGGTTGATTATTTACTGCCTTTGCTAGGTGGGCCTAGTGTTGCCTAGGAAGGGAGCATGCTAAGCTGTGGAGAAGGGAAGGAGTGGACTAAGCTATGGGAAGGGAGCTCTTTTTGCTAACATTGTCCTCTGAGATTTCTTTAAGAGAGATCTGGAACACCCTTCCAGCCCTACTTTCTCTGGGGGTGAGGTCCAGGATATATGGGGGCCTGTGGGGTGGGAGGGAGGGAGAGGGAGAGAGAGAGAGAGAGAGAGAGAGAGAGAGAGAGGGAGACCTGAACTCCAGGTGCACTGTACTCTACCATTTGAGCCATAGCTGCACTTCTAGCTTTTGGTGGTTAAATGGAGATAAGAGACTTTCTGCCAGGGTTGACTTTGAACCACCTTCCTCAGATCTCAGCCTCCTGAGTAGCTAGGATTTCAGAGTGAGCCACTGATGCCTGGGTTTAGTAAGGGTCTTAAGGGACTGTCTTTTCCAAATCGGGCCATCGTAGCCCTCAAACTTTACACTAAGGAACGATGATAATTCTGCCAATACTCTCAATGTGTCCACTTAAGAGATGGAAAACCCAATGTCAAGTTACTCTTTTATTCCAGCTACTGAATGGTAGCAGCAGCAGCCTAATCTTGGGGCCTTAGTTTAGGAGGTTTCTCCTCTGAGAAAACTCAATTTGGGGCAGTGAAGGCTTTTATTATAGAGGAAGATGGCTGGCTTAAAATGGAAGAAATAAGCCATCCTCAATGTTAAGGGGGGAAAAAATCGACAATGCTGTTACCAAAGTTTAAGTTTTTCAGGATCATTCCCTAGCTTACCGAAACCTTTTTTTTTATTTTTTTTGAGACAAGGTTTTGCTATGTAGTTCAGGCGGGCCTATCCCTCAGGGATCCACCAGCTTCAGTTTCTTGCTGTGGCTGGGATTACAGGTATGTACCACCTGACCAGGGAGAATTCATTTGCCTATGGGAATCTGGATGAGCTGACCGGCTTTGCAAAAGGGGAAAAAAAAAAAGAGGAAGAAATTATTGCCACAAAACAGGGACATTGCAGCGTTTTCTGGAGGGCTTGTATTGAGGTGAGGAGATTCAGGTCAGGCTCCTGGCTGATTTCCTTAGGCCTGAGGGAGGAGAGGGGGAAATCCTGATGAGAGGCTTTTCAGGGGTGCAGGGACCTTCCGGGGGTTGGTCCCGTGAGCTGGGCGGGCCACAGGCCGCCTTGGCACGGTTGCGGCCTCCTGCTTGCCTGTGACTCACACGGACCCAGAGGGGGAGGGGGCCTTTCCTGGAAGCCATGACGGGGAGGCTGGGCCCGGACACCCCAGTTCCTCTCTGGTAACCAGGGCTCTTGGTCTGCTGTAAACACAGCCTTGGGGACAACAGGAGGAAAAAGGGGGAGGGTGGGAGGGGCGCAGGGAACTCGCCTTTTGCCCAGCCTCTAACTTGCCCCAGAGCCTCGGGTGGGATCCAACCAAAAAAGTGGGAGGAGCCCTCGGGGTCTTGGTGTTGGCGCTGGCTCTGGTTCCAATCACGGCTGAGCCCAGCCAGATTTGATTCCCAGGAGCCCGAGAAATTCCCACCCCTGACTCAGCCGGGGCCTCCCCTCCCTCCCCTCTCTCCTCCCCTCTGCTGAGTCATGGAGACTGGGGCAGGGAGGCTGGCGATTGGGCCTCTCTCCAAGGGGTTGGGGGGGTGTATTCTCCCCCCCCCCCCAAAAAAAAGACTGTGAGATCCAGGGAGCAGAATGTGGAGCTCCATTTCCTACCACACAGGTTCAGCTCCCAGCCTCCCCCTTCAGACCCAGGGATCAAGGTCTCTCAGACCTAGGGGGTCAGGCCCCCCCCCCCCCCCCCCCCCCCCGCCAGCCTCTCCAGTCTCAGAGCCAGGGGTTCAGGCCTCAGCCTTCCTTCTCACATTTTAGGAGTCCAGGGCTCAGCCTCCTCCCTTAGACACCAGGGTCTGGGCCCCAGCCTCCTCCCTCAGATCAGGGGTCAGGACCCCCAGCCCGGGGTGCCCAGGCCTGGAGGAAGGTCTGGTGGCCTGGCCCTCCCCACCCCCACCCCCGACGGCAGCCAGCGGGGGAAGCCCGCGGGCCGGGCGGCCGGGAAACCCCTCGGGAATGACGGACGGTGGGGAAGGGGCCGGGCGGGGCGGGGCGGGGCGGGGCCGGGCCGCGGGGCCGCGGGGCCGGCGAGGTGGGGCTGGAGGAGAGAGAGAAAGGGGCGGAAACCAGAGAGGCTAAAAATACAGCGAGCACTTCCGGCCGCGCGCGCGAGGGGGGGAGGGGGGGAGAAGGGAAGAGCAGAGTTTCCAGAAAAACAAGCGGGGACGGGAAACGCGGGGGTGTGGGAGCCCGTGCGCCCCGGGGGCGGTGTGGCGCTGCGGGTGGGGACCCGCGGCCAGGCCTGGGATGGCCTTGGCTTGCTGGTGGGGAGGTATTGCATTACAGGGCGACAGTGGGGGGGGGGAGGCCCAACTCTGGGGTGGCTGGGGGTGCAAGCGGGAGGGGACCCCAGTGTGCCCGTGGATCCCCCACGTCCCCGTGTGAACAGAGCTGAGCCAAGGCCCGGGCCGGTGCCGCCGGCTTGGTGCCGGCTCCAGGCCGGTGTAATGATGACTACAGCGGCCTTGGAGGTGGCACTCCTGGGCGGGGCACCCCTGCACATCTGTATGGGGGGCACCCATGGGCGTGGCACCTCCCACATCTGTGTGCGTGTGTGGACGGGGGACCTGGGGTGACAGCAGTGTCTGAACTCTGGCTAAAGGACGGGCTGTGCAAACACTACCTTCACACTGGGCATGGCAGATGCAGGTGTGGTTGCGTGTGTACAGATCTTCATGTATGTGTGTGTGTGTGTCCCTGCTTGTGAGCGTGTCAGAGGCCTTGTGTGTATGTGAGAGACAGCATTGTAGGCTGGGTGTCTAGATGTGGTTCTAGTCACACGGCTGAACTTTGGTGTCTGACGTCAGCCGCCGCCGCGCCACGGGATGATGGCTGCTGGTCCGTGTTTATCCCCCACCCCACTCCCATGTCACCCTCTGTGCTCGCGTGTCTGTGGGCACAGCAGAAGTGTACACAAACGCAGGCACCTGAAGACATCGTCTAGGCCCAGGTCTTATCTGTGTCTCCAGCCAATCAGGACTGGGCTGGGCAGGGCTGAGTCAGCCCCGTGCCGGGTAAAGTCTGCTGCTGATGGGGTGTAGAGATAGCGGGTTAAGTGGTGGTTACAGGGCTGTTTGTGGATTCCGGATTTGCCCTGTTGGAAGGCTCCCTTAAAGGGATTGGTGACTGTTCCTGGGATCTGATCTGCAAGGGGGTAGGGTGTGATTGTGGGACCCTGGGTTGGTGTTTGCCTAGCAGATGTGATGGTTGTAAATGCAGCTCCCTCCTGGTGTGTGGTTGTGCACTAACTAGTAGGTTGTGGGATCTCTCCCTAGCAAAAAGTCCTCGTCAGGCACTGGTGGCTCATGGCTGTAATCCTAGCTCCTCAGGAGGCTGAGATCTGAGGATTGCTGTTCAAAGCCAGCCTCAGGCAGCTAAGTCCTTGAGACTCCTATCTCCAACCAGAAGTGGAGCTTGGCTCCAAGTGATACAGCCCTTCCCTTGAGCAAAAGAGCTCAGGGACAGCACCTAGGTCTTGAGTTCAAGCCCCACTGCAAAAAAAAAAAAAAAGTCAAGTCCTCACCAAGGTCCTCCATGACAGGCTGGCCT